ACATATGCCCAGAGAAATTATGGGAAATAGCTGAACAGAACATAATTTCACAAATATACCAATAAATGACCTCACTCACTCCTGTCATCTTCCATCATTCAGTTCCATCTGCATTAAAAACATTAGAGGCCAATTACATCAGCACAGTTTCCCCCCTGCGGCCCCTCAGAGCAGCGCTGGAAGGAAATGACTCGTTAGTGGGGCTAAATGCAGTAACGCTGGTGCAGGGTAAACAACAGCAAAGTGCTGGAACACACTGAACCTCAGCCTGTCCATGTTACACGCACATTAGACGCTTCTGCTCCAGCGCAGTAATGTCAGATCACAGACAGAAAGGAATAACAACATAATTACTGGCACAAAATAACATCTGTGGGTTTAAAAGAGTCATTAAACACAATTATATAACGGAAAACTATTAATGTACCATCCACTGCACTGTCAATCACACAGCTAATGATATTACCATATAGGGGACAATGGCTGACATAGGTGATTTACTGTATTTAATACTGTAAAATGGTAATATAAAAAGTTTATTTATAAAAATAACATTTAAATAGTTTATTTATAAAAAAAATACAGTTATTTAATTTTCATGTCAATTGTCACTGTAAATCACACTGCAATATTACTATATGGCTGACAATGGCTGTTATCATACAAGGTAATTTATTGTATTTAATGCTGTAAATGTAATTAATTTATTGTATTTAATACTAGAATGTATTTTAGTATGTATTTAAAAAATAAAATGTAATTAATATTACATTTTATATATTTTATATTTATGCAAATTGTCAGTGTCAATCACACTGCTATAAAGATATTACCATGTAGGTGACAATGGTAATGATACGCAAGGTAATTTACTGTATCTAATACTGTAAAAAGTAATTTTTATATTTAATACTAAAATGTATTTTTAGTGTTATTTAATAATAACAACTAATTTATATTAAATTATATTTTTAAATATTTTTATTTTATATGTAAATTGTCAGTGTCAGTCACACTGCTATAATGATATTACCATATAGATGACAAAGGCGGATTTAGGTAAATTATTGTATTTAATGCTGTAAAATTGAATTATTTTATTTAATACTAAAACATATTTTTGTGTAATTAATATTATGTATTTAGTACTAACATGTAATTAATATAAAGTTATATTTATTGTATTTAAAAAAAAAAATATATATATATATATATATATATATATATAGTCAGGCGGTGCTTCTAAAACTGAAGGATTCTCTTTCCCTCTGGACTGACGGTAGTGTCATTATAGTAGCCTTGAAGACATTACCGCATTCTGCGCTATAATTAGACTGTAAGTGAGAGTTTGAAGGGGGATGGGGGTCTCAGAGTGAGTCTCCATCCATCTATACTGCGATCCAGCACGCTCTAAACACATTTAATCTGACTCCAACACAGTCCAGCTCGCTTGCACAAGACTCTCTTTACAACTGCGCTCCACACAGCAGCGAAATCCTACACTCCACACACTGATCTAGCATTTGAGCAAAACACGAAAGAAAGAATACACTTTCTACGAAGTGTGGTGCTATTTTTAGAGTAACTAAACACCGTTTGCACCATTGCACGTTTGCACACAGTAGCTGTTTCAGCGCAAAAACATTTGCTAACCTTATTCACTAATCACTAAAACATCCTATTCCCACAATTTAGTTTAACCAAGCGTGAACTGGCACTGACTTGAGTATTTAAATAATGTCATGGTCAGTCTTTCAGCTCAAAAGCATATGTCTATTGCTCAATTTTATGAAAAAAAAAGGTATTTGTTCACATCATTTTTCTTGATCATTCTCAAATTGCATATTCATATTCTATACAACAGTGTGAGTAAACCATACATTCTCAATAAAGAAAGGTTTACTTGGGAGGTACCATAATGTACAAAAGCCAAAAGGTACATCTTTGTGCTTTATTTATCCTTAAATGATACATCATCAGTACCGAAAGTGTGCATATTAGTACCTTTTGAAATAGTACTGACCCAGTGACAGTTTTGTACTAGATAGATAGATAGATAGATAGATGATCAAATCTTAGCCATATGCACAGCTAAAAACTTTTTTTTTTTAAAGGCTCCTTTTTGACGTACATGCCGTATTTGCAGTTCACTCATGGTATGTGCTGATCCAGCATTGTTCAGAGGTCACTGTGAGGTTAGACATGAACCTTTGAAGGTTTACTTAGGAGTGGATTGACACTTTATGATACTGAGTGGGGAATTCAAGGCCAAGCCCTACAGAGGAATCCATGTGTACTCCAAAAAAGACCTGGGAAGGAAGACTGCAAATACATACTCATGCAGCAGACCCTAGCAAAACAACATGATCATGCTTATCAATTATATTAGTATAGCACATTATATTAGTATAGTACATGAATTATATAAGTTGATTAGCAAGTATATTATAGTAACTGAAGTGTTTGATTGCATCATAAAAAGCTAACTCCAAGGTAACAATTTAAGGTCATGATTAAGGTCATAGGGAACACATCACTGATGAAACAGAAGGTGGTCTAAGACTTTGCCTATTTTGTTTTTTTCTTTTCTTTTGGTCTATCCACCCCAAATACACTTACTGTAGTAATAGCCTGAACATGAAAAAAAAATGCATGGAACTGGATTTATACATTTATAGGTGGTTTGAAAGCAAATCATGTGTTAATGCGTCTCAGCCTGAATGATATGATCAAATTCACAATTTTCCCCAAATTTCCACAAGTGTGCATCATTACTATGACAGCCAGTGTGGAAATGTCAGCAAAAGCAACTGCAGTCTGAATGAATGAATGAATGAATGAATGACTGACTAACTAACTAACTAACTAACTAAATAAAATAACATCTGGCCACACTAAAATTGCCGTTTCAACAGTCAGATTTGTTCTAAAAAATAAAAAATAAACTAGACTACAACAGCAAGAAAAAGACCACAGACCACCTGGACTCAAGCTTTTATAACCAACCACAATTAGCTCCAATTCTACAATCAGAAGGTGGTGTAGCCCATTGGTTAGAGCTGGGAATGGTAACCAAACTACTGCAGGTTCAAACCCTGCAAGAAGTGAGCCATGCAGCTGAGTAAGGGTTCCTTTAAGTTGCTTTTGAATGAAGTATGAGCTAAAAGACTAATTAGTATCCATTAGTTAAGACAAATGAAAGGAGATGGAGTGCCAGGCTTGCATATCAAAGACTTTGCAGTCAGACGCTCTGTCAAGCACCCATTACTCACCTGGAAGATAAGCACTTTGAAGTTCTTCCTCTTGAGGAGCTCATGCTCATTGTTCTCCAGTTTTTTGATCTGTCCCACTTGCTTCTCCAGGTCCGTGCGCACGCTCTTCACATTGACGTTCACCTTCCGCACCTTGTCCAGGAGCTTGTTGACCGTCCCGGCCGTCACAACGTGACTCTTGGACAGCTTGGCCAGCTCTGTCTGGATGCTGCTCATGTTCTTCTCCGTGGTCTCCTGCTTGGCCTCCAGACCTGTCTGAGTCTGCTGGATCTGGTCCACCACACCTATGATCTTGTCTAGGAGTGCCAGGACCTTCATGCCTGTAGCCTGGGCCTCGGACTTCTGGGCCTCACCGCTGCCGCCTCCATCGAGTCCCGGCCCCAACACCAGGTCCACCTCTTCCGCCGGGTCATCATCGTCATTGTCGTCGCCTCGTTTTGATTTGAACACCTTGGAGGCGGTGGCAGGTTTGGTGGCAGCAGGCATCAAGGAGACCTCCTCGTCGTCATCATCAGAGACTTCGGCGAAGACGGCACGCTCCAGTTTGAAGTCTGTGTCGGCCATGGCTTGGTTTCAAGTAGACTCTGATGAAACACACACAAGCTTACTTGCAGACAGAGGGCAGAAGCATGCACACTCGTGGCCCAGTGTGCAAGAATGCAGTCCTAGGATAAAAATAAAGCACTAAAAAAAGACTTGAATGACAGTAGACACCCAACAATCACAGCGCAACGACTCCAACACTTCTTGGCAACTTCTAACCAATCTTCAAGTCACCTCCACTACTTACTACCACTAAGTACTACTCTCTAGGTTTGCTGTAATGCCTCAAACTTTCCCTCAAGTCTACTCTGGGATCTCGGCCAGTCGGTGGAAGCAGACTCTCTCTCCAAGGTGTGTGTGACCACAGCTCCCTGTGAAGCCCGTCCGTCAGGTCTTCCCTTTCCCTCCTTAGACCAGCCCTCTGCTGTGATCACTTACTGTAAGGTCACACCCACACTGACCCTTTAAGGGGAGTCTCCACCCTCACCAGAGCCTGACAAGGGACACTAGAACACATACCCACCCTCTCATTTACGCAAGGGTATGAGACAAATGGCTCAAATCAATTTATGACTCATTAAACCGTAAACCTGATACTGAAAATTACTATCAAAGACACGCTGCATTATTGGAAACACCATTACAATATAGCACAATAACATGTTCCTAACGTGTTGATATTTAGTTCAATAGGATTAAGACGTTTCTGTTTGTATGGCTACAATGGCGTTTGCGAAGTTCCAGACCAGAGTATGTGAGTTTTTGTGATTTTGACTGGAGCGAGGAGCGGTTTTTTTTTTTTAAGTTAAATGTTTGCTTATCACCCCAGCTCTAGCAAGTGTGAGCGATTAAAGGAATTTTTTAAGTTGGGAAAGGGGAAACTGTAAAGCTTGGTTCTTTTTGTTAGCGTAGAAAAATACAAACTGGTCAAATTTAGTCTGAAATGTAATTAAGCAATATCACAAGAGTACGAGTGCTGTCGTTCCAAATATCAGCATGGCTAATGTGAAACAACAGCAATAACTCTTAAAGAAAACAGAAATATTATTTAATCATTTCATGTTTATTAAAAGTAATAATTATGCTATATATTATTAATAATGCTTCTTAATAATTAATAATAAATAATCCTTTAATTGTATTATACATGTACAGACATGATTTATTAACAGATATTTTCTCACATGTATGTTAAAAAGAAAAAGAAAAACAGAATTATGAGTTCAGATCCACTCTTTACTCTTTATTGACGAACAAAACAGACATAATCATTAAGCTTCGCTTACTGCTTTTACTTGGTATAGTTATTTTCTCCAAGACTCCCTCTGACATCTATCAAACCAACGATTTTTTTTTTCAGGAGCCAATGCATGTTCATGTTGTAAACACAACAATCAAAAACCCAGAACTGGGCACTGCAGCAGATTCATGAGATTAGCATAGTTTAGATGTGTATTTGCATTTAAATCACAATAGCAATAGCAATAGCTAAACACACACACAAAAAACAGCAACACAGTTCAAGGCCAACTAAAATATAATTACTCTTTACTTACATTTTCCAAAGGAATGCAAAGATCTGCAATAAATCTGGGGGATTATCTGCATCTAGTAATCAGATATGCTTGATGAGGATATCCTCTCGGCAGAAGCTTGTGAAATGCCATAAAGTGAAGCTTTCTTTGCTGCATTTGAAATGAGGTCCCTTTGCATGAGAACTATTATATAAATGTGTCAACATAAAGGATAAAAGATACATAAAAAACAAACTCTAATAATTTAAGAGACTGGAAAACATAGACAAAATCTCCACCTATGCTATAATGGGAGGGAAACTGTAATGATATTTTGCCTTGATTGAGTAAAACATGCTGTTCATACTCCTGTGTGCTGTATGGCAACACCACTCGAGTTTGTATTATTACATATCAATACATATCGCTGCAAGAATTGAAGAGTTACGAAATCATTGCAAATACGTTATGCAGTTCTAGCTCAGATTATTTTCAGCTTCAACTATTTACATCTAGTTTACCTGCTTGTAAATTATTCCATTTATGTCCTGATCTAGAACACCTGAGAAATGTAGAGCCTTACAAAGTCAGTGTTCACAAGAATCATGAAATGCTGTAGTTTGGAGGTGTGGCAGTTGGGGAGGGAGAGAATGTGGGTGTGGTTTAGTCTTCAAACTTGCCCTCCAGAATGCTGTCAAAAGTAAAAGGCATGAACTTGAAGCCCTGTCCAGTGTAGAATTTATTCTGGAACTCCACCCTACAGAAAATAAGTGGGGAAACAGGGTCAGTGGATTGCAATTCTGAGTTTAAAATAAAATAAAATAAAGGTTATTGTCTAGCTCCACATAACTTTTTTAGTTTGGTTTTGTACATAGATTTGATAAAAATCTAGATACCATCTTTTCAGGAAGTGAGTTTGGTTTTAGAACGCAGTTTTTGTGTAAAGAATAACATTAAGCACTCAGAATAGTCAATACAACTGTATTTTGCTAGACTAGCAGTGTATGTATAGCCATTGATAGGGAGCGACATCTGCTCTTGAAACTGTTCAACTGTTTTAATTTATAAAAGGCAAGCATTGTGTGTGTGCCCTTACCAATGCAATCTGAGAGCATGAAGGAAGGCAGACAGCCCTTCCATGATCAACAGAATAAACACTGTCAGTGTAGCAAAGAAGGCAAAGATGATTGACAGCGCAAAGAATCCACCAAAATTCCTAGAAGCCAGACCCATGTGCATCACCATTGTCCACAAGACCTCAGAGAGCTCTGGAAGAAAACAGAAACACTTAAAAAAATATCTTGTAAACGATTACAAATTGCTTAGTGAGAGGATAAACATGTACTGACATTTGTACAGGGCTGCAGTTTATGAATTTTCATCACATTTTCCAATCATTCATGATTAGAGGATGGATTTTCTTCATTTATTTATTTAATAGAGATTACAAAGACCTTAATTACTAGTCTACAAAGTAAAACTGAGCATAATCAAATTTCCATGTATTTTCAATACAATAAATGTGAGTATGAGTGTGTGCATTACTTACGCGCATGGGCCAGACTCAGCGCCCAAAGCCGTAGATAAGAGGCAGTATTTGAGATGCAGCCTAAGCAGTATTCTATAGTGTGAATGGCTTGATGCACTGCAACATCTGCAAAATTAAACTAAATAGAGAGAGAAAGAGAGCAATAAGAGCTGTTCGGACTCATGAAAATACAAAAATCGAATCCCACTCCCAGCTCAATCACAGCATGATTAAGCAGCCCTGAATCTCACGGGCATGAGAACAAAATCACAGCGCGGGGCGCTTTCAGATCATCAGCATCATTTGATGTGATATATATCCTAATCACAGCACAGCTCACTGGATCATTCCCATGTAATGATGGTGGCTAAAACAAAGGAAAATGAGTGTCTAGAAAAGAATCTATCTAGATGTACTGGAAAAGGACCGAACACCAACTACAGGAGACTACCCAACACTGAAGCCTTGCAGGAACACACACACAAGCCGCAGAGCAAGAGGACTGTACAGGGTGATGGCGCACATACACACACAAACACAAATGTAAAAACATCTACACAGAGTCGAGAAGGCTGTCTGCTCTTACCACTTCCTCCTCTGACTGCTTGAAAGGTAATCAGACACATGCACAGACAGACACACAGGGTTAAAGACAGAGTTAGAATCTGATGAAGAGTTAGTGAGAGGAAAAATACACTTTGGTTTACAGAAAATGCAAAGATCTAATGACGAACACATAACAAAATGCAGTGGCCCCAAAAAGTATTCAGACACTTAAGCCACACCTACAAATGCATGAATGACTAATTAAACAAAATACAACAAAGCAAGTGGCATTTTTTTAAACAAGCACAGCACACTAAGTAAAACATTTCATAAAAAGATTTGTTAGCTTTGAAACAGACATGATTTGGACAACAGTTTGGACATTTTCTGTTTGTCAAAAGAGTAATGTGATGTGACTAACTACACCTGCTAGGACACCTTTGTGAAACTGAGGGGGGCTGACTCTATGGCTACGTTCACACGGCAGGCAAATTGGGTCAAATCTGAATTTTTTTGGACATTTTCTGTTTGTCAAAAGAGTAATGTGATGTGACTAACTACACCTGCTAGGACACCTTTGTGAAACTGAGGGGGGCTGACTCTATGGCTACGTTCACACGGCAGGCAAATTGGGTCAAATCTGAATTTTTTTTTGCTCACATATGACTCAGATCTGTTGTGTGAACAGCACAAACCACATGGAATCTGATCTTTTCTATTCCGATTTGTGCCACTTCCATATGTGGAACTAAATCCGATATAGGTCAGATGTTTTGCAATGCGACCACAGCCTGAACAGTCATATCTGAATTCATGCGACTTTCACGTCACTCGATTCTGTGATTCTACACTCATGGGAGATACTTCAAAGATTTTACAAACCCAAAGTTATCAAGACAGTTGCGAAAGGTAGTCAGTGAAAGTACAGTGATGTGTCAGAACTCATAAGTATTACAGTGGCAACTCTATATACAAGCAAAACATGAAGGCTCATATCATAAGTTTTAAAACTCAATTTTTTACTTTATTTTTCATATTGCCTGTGCATAATTTAGCTGGCTTCTGCAGCTGAACACACTATAAATAAACGCATAATCGCTTACTTTATGTCCTCCGTGTTTACTTTCGTACAATGGTGCACTGCGCAAGTGTTGGCAAATCCAGTTTTCCCGCAGAATTGGGCTACTTTTTCACTGTTGCCGCGGGTTGTTTTTCAACTCTGTGGGTTTGGTGACCCCACTAACGTGATATTGAATAACGTGATAAACTGAATTTAATGGCTGCTACTGGCAGGTCTGTTTGGAATGGAAGGAGGAAAGATTATTTGGCACTAACGCACTGAAAAGACTGCATCTCAAACCTCAAAATAATGCAGGTTTATCTGCCTCCATTTTATTTCCAGTGTAGAGAAACCCAATTAGCCAGGTGGGTGTTTGTTTAGTGTTTTGAGGCTGGTTGCCATGGACACAGTGGTTGGGGGAAGAGACAGTGCTTTTAAAAGGGGCTGCCCCAGTTTAGAACAGCACTGGTATGCAGATCCCAGATCCAGTGATTCACAGAATGGAATGCCCACTGCAGGCGAGCGACCCCACTGCCAACTGCGGCCGTTTTTGGTACCTGGGTGTGACTTGTCACCGTGTGGGTGGAACAAGTATCACATGGACTACTATAAAGAAATTCACTTTAATTATTCTTATGATAAAGCCTTAAGTTATTCTCAGGATCAACAGATGACATCACAAAACCCGACCCAAACAAATATCCAGATAAATGGGTTGGCAGAACACATGTCATTCTCTGGCTATAGAAAGACTATTGTTAGAGTTCACAAACTAAAGCAACTTTGTAAAATGAAAAATAAACAAAGATGGGTAAAGTATTTAATTAGTAAAATTATTAGTTATTCTATAGGCTAGTTAAGAGAAAAACAGACAGATTAAAAAAAGAGAATTCCCTCACCTCAGGCGATTCTTCTTCTAAGTTTTGGGAGAGCTGGTCATGTTGGATGATCTCAGCTTCATCCTCTGTGGGGCCGTTGCCCACACGGATTCCCCCAAAGTTTTGCGTTCCCTGCAGCAAAAGTCACACTAGGTCATGGTTGTGTGTACAAGTAATGTATACATTTTAGATGAGCCATTATATAATAATCTAGGTTATCATGGTTCCTACACTTTCTAACCAATAAAAGACAGCATATGAGAATGATTTATATATTATATATATATATATATATGTATATATATAGAAAGCAACATTTTCTGAGGGGCATAAAAAACAACGATAAACCTTTAGAGCAAGATCAATGTAAAATCAATGGTTTGGAATGAACAACTTACGTCCAGTTGCCTCCTCTCTCTCCAAACATGGGCCTGACACTCCAGCCCGAGCCAAAGACATTGAGAGATTTGGAGAAACAGTCGTTGTAGATAATCCCAGTATACACCGAAAATATTCCCATCAGGAGAATAATGTAACGGCCCGCAAAAACGATGTTAAACATCTAGAGAAAGAGAGAACACTGTGATTTGTAGTAGCCCAAATTATCAAATAAATGTAGAATTATTAAAAAGAAAGTACATTTAATATAATGTTTGTTAAATTGCATCTCTTTACCAAATACTATCGAGGCCAGAATGGCCAATATAAATACAGTTCCTTACTTTTTTTTTTCTCTAAGTAAAAGCTATAATTTATGCCTAAACTGTACATTTTCAGACCATGTTGTTTTATTAACAGAAAATTATCAATCTTATAAGTTTTAAACTAAACTTAAAACAATCATCACCCAAATGCATAATAACAATTGTCACATTTAGCTTTGCCTTTATATTAAAAATAACCCATAACAAAAGGTGTGTTTTATTCTTCACTTCAAAACTTTAATTTTCATGCTAAATAACACTAGTTAAAAACCATGAGGATCAATATTTTCTGTATTCAGGATCTTTACATAAATAAAGCTATATGACATGAATATTTGATTTTAACAAAATGATAAAACAATAATTATGAGATGGTTGGATAAATGGATGGGAGAATGGATACCTCATTGTCGTTTTTCTGGGCAATTAATCGGCTCTCTCGCAGTACCAAATAAAGTGCAGCGCAGGTCATGAGTATACCATGACCCAGATCGCCAAACATGACCGCAAACAGGAAGGGGAAGGTGATGATGGTGTATGGAGCTGAACATATAAGCACAAACATGATACACACAATATGTTGAGACACCCACAAAAAAGTAAATAAATAAATAAAAAGGTAGCTCAACAGGATCTGTTGATCTGTAGCTCATTTTAATCACTGCAGAGGAGTTTGGGATTATCCTTCAGTGTCGTAGGCCTGAAAGAGTTAATGGAAAATCAGTGTTAAAAATAATGACTTAATGGCCACACATGAAGACGTGATCTGAATGATCAATTTAAACAAGTGGCTGATTATGAAAGCAACATTTTCTGAGGGGCATAAAAAACAACGATAAACCTTTAGAGCAAGATCAATGTAAAATCAATGGTTTGGAATGAACAACTTACGTCCAGTTGCCTCCTCTCTCTCCAAACATGGGCCTGACACTCCAGCCCGAGCCAAAGACATTGAGAGATTTGGAGAAACAGTCGTTGTAGATAATCCCAGTATACACCGAAAATATTCCCATCAGGAGAATAATGTAACGGCCCGCAAAAACCATGTTAAACATCTAGAGAAAGAGAGAACACTGTGATTTGTAGTAGCCCAAATTATCAAATAAATGTAGAATTATTAAAAAGAAAGTACATTTAATATAATGTTTGTTAAATTGCATCTCTTTACCAAATACTATCGAGGCCAGAATGGCCAATATAAATACAGTTCCTTACTTTTTTTTTTCTCTAAGTAAAAGCTATAATTTATGCCTAAACTGTACATTTTCAGACCATGTTGTTTTATTAACAGAAAATTATCAATCTTATAAGTTTTAAACTAAACTTAAAACAATCATCACCCAAATGCATAATAACAATTGTCACATTTAGCTTTGCCTTTATATTAAAAATAACCCATAACAAAAGGTGTGTTTTATTCTTCACTTCAAAACTTTAATTTTCATGCTAAATAACACTAGTTAAAAACCATGAGGATCAATATTTTCTGTATTCAGGATCTTTACATAAATAAAGCTATATGACATGAATATTTGATTTTAACAAAATGATAAAACAATAATTATGAGATGGTTGGATAAATGGATGGGAGAATGGATACCTCATTGTCGTTTTTCTGGGCAATTAATCGGCTCTCTCGCAGTACCAAATAAAGTGCAGCGCAGGTCATGAGTATACCATGACCCAGATCGCCAAACATGACCGCAAACAGGAAGGGGAAGGTGATGATGGTGTATGGAGCTGAACATATAAGCACAAACATGATACACACAATATGTTGAGACACCCACAAAAAAGTAAATAAATAAATAAAAAGGTAGCTCAACAGGATCTGTTGATCTGTAGCTCATTTTAATCACTGCAGAGGAGTTTGGGACAAAACTATTATAGGTCAGGGTTACCTGGGTTGATTTCCCGGTAGTTGCTGATGCCGTAGGCATCAACGATGCTCTGAAAGCCAGAGGTGAACTTGTTGGTTTTGTTGTAGGTGGGTGGGGTCTGTTTGGTCTGCATTCTGTTTAGGATGGAGGGAACAGTGGATCCACTTCTCTCCTGCATGAAATAGAGCGGAATTTAACACAAACATTCATGCATGAAAATAAATGCTCCAGTTTGCTTCCCAGTAAACAGTGGCGCAGTTGTATGCATGCCTCTACATTGCATTTATGTAAATGCTCATTTATCTGTGGAAATAGTGTCACTTGTTTGCTTAAATTTTAAACAGATGCTGCATATTGTGAACTGAACTTGAGTATTGAGTCCACAGCATGTAAGCGCGTATGAAGGCAATGTGTAAGACAGCTGATATTAATAGCTGCTAGTTAAATAAGGCATGAGGAAGAATGCCATGTGTAAGGACAGGCTTTGAACTAGCACGCAAGCACAATCCTTCACATTTCAACACACTGCCTACATGGACTTAACACTATTACACTTCTAGTTTAAGTTCAGACGGAAGCCGCTTTTTTGTTACCAAACAATGCTTTACATGGATTTACAAATTGGCTGTAAGAATCCATCTGTAGGTTGCTGGCTGTAAGTCCAGCATTATATAAAGGATGCATAACCCGTTTTAAGTCTATAAAGACTGAGAGGCAGACACAGAAGAACAGAAGGTGAATTTGTGTGAGCAGTTAATCCTCTTACGGTGTGGCTATTACAAGGTTAACATTGCAGTGACCTCTGACCCTTACACAACAACCTCTCACCACAGGGATTACAGGTATTACACCTGCTCTGCCCTTACTGTCCTGTAGTAAGGTGTGACATCCCGGACCTCACAGAGGCATCACACCATCTGCTGTGAATAAGCTATAAGAATCTAGAATCCATCACTCAAGTGATCTTCAGCACGCACTATATCATCCCGAGACCAACCAATTCATTAAACTGTGTAACAAATCAGGAAATAAATACTATCAAACAAACCGCTCTCTAATATCTGCCATAACATAGCGGAGAACATGCTTATACAAGTTTGGTTCATGTGTTTAGTCAAAATTCAGATTGCTGTGCCAAAGCGTTGACAAACAATCATTCTTATTCAGTGGCAATTAAATGAAGACACTGTATACTAGTATGCAATAAAAACACAAAATAAATGTCTTTTAAATACATATTGAAACTTTTTCGTTATGTATTTTCCAACTAAATTAATGAAAATATGAAGAAAAAAAATCATTTACTATTTTCTACTGAAAGGAAAAAAATGCAAAAACATTCTGAAAACTGAGGGAATGGATTGCCACTCGTCTGATCAGTATTCTCATCAGCAGAAGTGATGGACAGAGTCCACTTGTGGTGCTGTGAGAAGGGAATCAGGTTTCAGCTGCTCTAGACCACAGGAAAATTCAAACTTTGATCTGAGGGGTCTCATGACTCAATGTAAAAGTATCTGGGCATTCCGTCCTAACACTCAGTCCCCTGTGTGCTTGTGTCTGTGTGTCCTGGGATAATAGAAGCTAAAACCATGTTTACAAAGTGCGAGTCATTGTATGTGATGACAAGAACAAATCGGCTACTCCTTAGAGACAACACGTGTGTGGTGGTAATATACTGTATGTGGTCTAACATGCCAATGTAAAATGGACTAAATACAGCCCCAATGAAATGCAGCTTACATCAGGAGTCTGTGAAATCAAATGTAAGACTTTTTTTAATACCTGCACAAATGTAATTGATATTTTATGTCCATACAGATCAAACCCATACAATCTTAAAATAAATCATTCTTTTACTTAATTAAAAACACATTCAACTGCAAAATAGGGTAACTGCAAGTATAAAATACTCAAGATGTGTTTTATTCAAGAGATACATACAGTATGTATTGAAAATGGTTTATGTACTAATACAGGTATATCCATATATACGAATTAGAGGTCGATCGATACTGGATTTTCCAGATACGATCATGTGTTTAAAGAAAGGCAGCACACAGATTAATGTGTTAATATTAGTAAAAAAAAAATAATTCTTCCTGTGACAGGACGGCCCAAGAAAAGGCACAAGAGTTAACACTGAAGTTTTTATTCCAAAAAAACTGACAAAGTTATTATATTTATGCATTTATAATGTTCTCTACCTCTCTTCAGGGAACAAAGGCCAAAAGTATTTAGCCCTCATCATGCACTCGGGAACTAATCCATTTTATCCCCAATAAAATGCTTTATGAATAAGAATGACCTCCCCTCTGATATAACAAACTAGCAATAGCAAGCAGCAAATTGTGGTTCATGGCTATTACATAAACTAAAGACTACTGGCTATAAAATATGTCCCACAACAGTGTCCCACAACTTTGTATCGCCCCATAACAATATTCTGTTTTAATAGGATATAATCTATGTCAACAACAACCATCAAGCCAGGGTCTTTAAAGGTGCCATAGAATGCATTGATACAATATTTTAAATTGTTCTCTGATATCTACATAGAAGGTATGTGGCTTAGGTAAGGGCAAACAATCTCCAGAAACAGTTTTACATGTCCATTTACAGCCCTAGGATTTGTCCCTAGAATGAAATGGTCTGTTTTTACCTTATTTGGAAGGGTCATGAATAATAAAGTTGAGCTCTGCTCTGATTGGCTGTTTCACAGTGCGGCTCAATGTTGAACTCTGCTCTGATTGGCTGTTTCACAGTGCGGCTCAATGTTGAGCTCTGCTCTGATTGGCTGTTTCACAGTGCG